TGCATTAAATACCTCCTTCCATAAATCCTGGTGGATTGTTGATTTTGGAGCCTCAGATCACATGACGGAGGACTCCACATTTTTCACATCATATTTTCCATGTAGTGGACGTGAGAAAATTGACACTGCTAATGAAACATCTTCCTCTATTGTTGGAAAGGGAAGCATTACTATTTTTGAAATTTTACATCTGGATTCAGTTTTTCATGTTCCATACTTAGCTTGTAATTTGTTATCTATAAGCAAGTTGACTAAACAAGCTCATTGTAGTGCTTATTTCTTCTCTACTCATTATATCTTTCAGGATCTCACATTAGGGAAGATGATTGGCAGTGTTGAGGAGTGTGATGAGCTATACTACCTTCATGAATCAACTGTGAGTAGTCTCTGGTCTTGCATTCGGTGTAACCTTGTGTCCACCTCTAAGAATAGTGATCTTTTGTTATGGCATAAAAGAATGGGTCATCTCAATGTCCAGTACTTAAGTTGTTTGTTTCCTCATTTTTCATTCAATAAAATTTCTACTTTTCATTGTGATACTTGTGAATTGGCTAAACACTATCATTCTTCACTTTTGTGCTCTGAATACAAACCGTCTAAACCTTTTTCTATCATTCATATTGATATGTGGGGTCCTTCCCGTGTTCCAAACCGGACTCAAGCCAAATGGTTTGTTACATTCATAGATGACCATGCTTGTGTGTGCTGGGTCTACTTAATAAAAGAGAAATCTGATGTCACATCCATATTTTTGGAATTTTACGCCATGATTCTTAACCAATTTCACACCTCCCTTCAAATCCTCCAAACTGATAATGGTACTGAATACCTGAATAAAAGTGAGTGATTTTTGACAACGAAGGGCATCGTCCATAAAACCTCTTGTACAAGTACCCCCTAACAAAATGGTATTGCCGAACGCAAAAATAAACACCTATTGGAGGTTGCCTGTGCCCTTATGTTTACCATTCATATGTCAAAATTCTTTTGGGGCGATGCCATTCTTACTACTGCTTACCTCATCAATCAAATGCCAAGTAAAGTCTTATCTTATATCACACCTCTTGATTGCCTACATGAAATACATTCTCTTCACCATCTTGAAACTAATCTCCTTTTGAAAATATTTGGGTGCTCAGCTTTTATACATCTTAACCCCACTTCCAAGCTTGAACTTAGGGCCATCAAGTGTGTGTTCATTGGTTATTCTTCTTCTCAAAAAGGCTACAAATGTTTTGACCCCTCTTCTCGGCGTCTATTCGTTAGTCATGATGTCACTTTTTCTAAACATGACTCCTTTTATCCTCCTCCCTCAATTCAGGGGGGACTTAGCTTGAATTTCAGTCATTCTTTGAGTATTCCCCTATTCCATTTGTTGATCTCAACTCTCTAGAGCCAATGCCTATCTCTTTTATTCCAGAAGCAAAAGAAAATGCAGGTACAGAGGACAACAAGGACATAAGTACTATAGAAAAAGAAATCATAACCTATAAACCTCCCAGAAGCAAGGTACTAAACCTCCCACACTCGAGGCAATCCTTGATTCAGAACCGATAAGAGATCCTGTTGAAGCAAATGAGAACATCATAGAGGCTGTGAATGTCAACAGTGATGCCAGGAAAGAATTGGATAGTGATTTGAATTTGCCAATTACCCTCAGGAAGAAACCCCGATCTGGTACATAGCATCCAATTCAAAAATATGTGTCCTATGAAGTTATATCTCCCAGGTTTCAAGGTTTCATTGCAAACCTAGGTGATGTTAGTATTCCAAATAATATTCATAAGGCTCTGGAATCACCAAGATGGAGAGAAGCTGTCTTGGAAGAAATGAAAGTGTTAAAGGAAAATGGGACTTGGGAAATTGTGAATAAACCAAGGAACAAGAAATTTGTAAGCTGCAAGTAGGTGTTCACCCTAAAATTCAAAGCCGATGGGAACCTTGAAAAGTTGAAGGCCTGATTGGTAGCTAGGGGGTTCACACAGACATATGGCATTGACTACCAAGAAACCTTTGCACTAGTGGCCAAGCTAAACACTATTAGAGTGTTACTATCTATAGCAGCAAGCCTCGAATGGCCTTTGCAACAGTTAGACATCAAGAACGCCTTCTTAAATGGGGACTTGAAAGGGGAAGCGTATATGACTTTACCTCCTAGCTTTAATCAAGGCAAAGGTGATCAAGTGTGCAAGTTGAAGAAATCCCTGTATGGATTAAAGCAGTCACCAAGAGCATGGTTCGATAGATTCTCACAAGTCTTGAAGTCTTAGGGCTACAAACAAGGACTATCGGATCATACTATGTTTGTTAAACTAGAAGGAGGTAAGAGGTGTATTCTTATTGTGTATGTTGATGATATAGTTATTACTGGTGATCACAGTGAGGAAATCATAAAAATTAAGAATGCATTAAGTCAAGAGTTTAAGGTCAAGGACCTAGGAAAGTTAAGATACTTCTTGGGAATGGAAGTTGCAAGATCAAAGAAGGGAATTTATGTATCTCAATGAAAATACATACTTGATCTCTTAAAAGAGACAGGCATGTTAGGGTGTAAACCTGTTGAAACACCCATTGTTGTTCCAAAGAAGAGGCCAAAGTTCACAAAGAAGGAAGGAAACTCTGATGAAGAGACCAAGAACGTTGAAGAAAAGGAAGATAAGGAAAATGACAAACCGGTTGATAAAGAAAGATATCAAAGACTCGTGGGAAAACTTATCTACCTCTCTCTTACACGACCTGACATGGCCTTTGCAGTAAGTGTAGCTAGTCAGTATATGTGTGAGCCAAAGGTAAAACACATGGAAGCAGCATACAGGATTCTGAGATACCTAAAAGGCACCCCTAGAAAGTGCTTGTTGTTTTAGAAACATGAACGGAGAACCATAAAAGTATATACCGATACAGATTGGGGTGGACAGCACCCAGATAGGAGATCTACTTCTGGTTACTGTTCATTCGTGTGGGGAAACCTGGTTACATGGAAAAGTTAGAAGCAAAGAGTTGTATCTAAGCGTTGTGCTGAATCCGAGTCAAGGGCCTTAGCTTGAGGCATAATGGAGGAAATATGGTTGAAAAGAATACTTGAGGAAATACATGTCAAACTAGATATACCACTAAAAATTATGCCGTGATAACAAGGCAGCTATAAGCATGGTCTTAAATCTAGTACAGCATGAAAGGTCGAAAGATGTAGAAATCTATAAGCATTTTATTAGAGAAAAAGTGGAAGATGGGATCATTTGTTTGACCTTCTTACTAACAAGTCTCCAAGCAGCTGATATGTTGACCAAGGGATTACATGAGCCCACGTTTGAAAATTGTATAAGCAAGTTGGATATGATTAACATCTATGATCCAACTTGAGGGGGAGTGTGAAATATAATTAATTAGGAAATATTCTTTTCTAATTAATAGGGATATGATTCTGATTTATAGGGATATGGTTAGACAAGATTATGAGGGTAAATAAGTGATTTGATTTTTTCTGATTATTTCCTTATATAGTTAGCCTTGTAATCGTGTATATATATCTGCACAATGAAATAATATAAGATTATTTTGGTCAAAATACCTTCAATGTTTATATGCTACCACAGCTACATCAAGGAAGTGTAATACAAAGTGATAGATTTCTCCCCTTGCATTACCCCTACGTTAGAGTTCGAAGAGCTTGTTTTGCTTGAAAAATAGCTACAGTGTTTTCTTAAATAGAGTAGGTATGCCATGCCGATTCCCAAATTTCCTAAGTCATGTTTGCTAGCAGGTAGTTTTTACTCATCTCGGTGTTCATAAAGTGAACGAACCACATCATGAACGTGTTGTTTTTTGCACACCACACTTCATGTTTTGGATCACCAACCTTTAGTGCCTTTGGATGTCCAATCAGTCAAAGCTCCTTGTTGCACCCTCACACAAACATCCACACGTTTCTAGACCATTGCAAGTAATTGTTCCTGCTGAGACGATGGGTGATGATAAGTTGAGAGGAGTTCATATGTGAATTCCTTAAAGAACTTGCACCACCCCCTCCAGAATTCGTTGCCTTCGCTTGAGCCCTCACCTTGCGCCAAGGAGGTTAGGGGTATTTCTTCATCAGTGGCGAAGGCTCTGGAACCAGTTAGCACTGCCTTTTATGACATGTGAGGTGTTGCTCTGATACCATGAGAATATACGGTGCAGAAAAACTTCAATTCATTGAATAGAGAAGAGTGTACATACATAAGAGAGAAGATTTAATCATATCACATCAAATCTGATCTAATAACTAATAAAGATTTGGAAAGATAACTGATACTTTGATTCTAAAATCCTTATAATTCTGAAAAATATTTCTAGTAAGCTTAAGATGCTAACAATAAATCCTATTAGGGCTAGGTAAAACTAGCAAATGGGCCTAGGTTAAGTTGGCCCACTTCCAACATGTTACTTTGAACTTTATAGATTTTTAGAAGTAATATATAATTTTCCCTTTACAAGAATGGGGTGTAACTGTATGATTTCATTGCTTTTAGAAACTTCATTTTCTTACTTAACCAGTTCAAATAAACCTTTTGTTAATCTGACTATAGTTAAGTTGGCATGTGGATATTATTGTTTATTATTTTATAAATGCACCCCTTGTTTGGTTTGGAACTATAGTTGGATGAGAAAAATGGAGGGGATATTTTGGCGAAACTCCCCTCCACCCTTCCCCCCAAATAGGGGGTTTTGGAGGGGAGGGTATGTTTTAACTATCTCCCCTCCCCTCTTGAACCAAACAAAAAATCATTAAAATCCCCCCACTCCCCTCCCCTCCCCTCCCCTCTGTTGTACCAAATAGGATAATGTAGAGAGGTTGGTGGTTGACAACACAAGGATGTTACCACATTCTTATGTAAATTGAACTTAACCCAGATTTTGGAGGGAATTTGCTCCTTCAAGTTTACCTGTTAAAGTACATAAAAATTGTGTGAGTGATTTATTTGTTTGTTCAAACATATGTTTTGCTCATGGACACGCAGAATATTTTCAAAATAAGTTGGTAGATACAATACATTTCATGGAAATTCTTAGCTTGAAAGATAGTGTTGAGAAAGACACCTTCTTTCGCAAGCTTCCAAGTTTAGCAGAGCAGCTACCTCGCCAGATTGTGTTGAAGAAGGTGTGTCTATTTGGACCTTAAAATTTTGATCTCCAGATTGGAAGTTTTAAATCTGTGAAGATATTCTATCCTGTTTTTATGACTATTTTTTTTGCAGTTGCTACCTTTGTTGGCTTCTGCTCTTGAATTTGGTTCAGCTGTTGCCCATGCTTTGACAGCATTGTTGAAAATGGGTTCCTGGCTTTCAGTTGAGGAGTTTAGTGTCAAGGTAAGTGATTCTTTCTGCATCTTCAGGTTAATGATTTCTTTCATGCACATAATTCATTTCCATCTTTTCAATTTAATTAGGATTCATTTTACATTTGTGAAACAATTTCTGGTTTAAATGTGTAGGTGCTTCCGACTATCGTAAAACTCTTTGCCTCCAATGACCGAGCTATTCGAGTTGCTCTTCTTCAACATATTGATCAATTTGGTGAGTCCTTATCAGCACAGGTTGTTGATGAGCAGGTATATGTTCAGGATGGAATGATTTCAATTTCTAAGCCTTTTTTAAAAAAAAAAATTGATTATTTCTCCTTTGTACAGAGAAATCTGAGTAACCAAATTTTGGCTCTGTAATCAGGTTTATCCTCATGTTGCTACTGGGTTCTCTGACACGTCTGCTTTTCTGAGGGAACTTACACTTAAGGCCATGCTTATATTAGCTCCAAAGGTATGAGAATGCAACGAATATGAAATTTGTCATCGCAGTTAAATTGATGATATTGACCTTTCAGTGTTTCCATTGCATGTGGCCTAGTTTCACGACAAAGTGGTTGCTTTTGTAAGCCAATTTGGTAAAATCTATTATTAGCGTGTAATTTAACAATGTCAATTTAAGTAGTATTTCTTTAATTATTATTATTAATATAGTGAAATTACTAATTTGGGACCAAAGTTTTTAGATTTAATGCAATATTGTATTTCTTGGTCTGATGATACCTCTATGCTAATGATGATTTGAGAGTAGGCGACATGCTAGCAAAGCTATCTGGGCTCACCAACCTATCTGTTCTTTTCAAGTAGAGGTGGTGTTCTCTCAGGTCATTTAAGAAAGTATTGCATAGCTGTTGCTCCTTGGTACTCCATAGTGCATTGTTCAATATTGCTGTGAAAGAATGTTTCATTGAAGCTCAGATGATTTGACTGGTTGAATTGACTGGAATTTAATGCCATTTCATGAGTGAATGTGTTTGTTTGTGAGTGTAAGAGAGAGAGATGGGTCTGGATCGAGTTAAAGTCTCAGGTTCATTGTCACTGACCTTGTAATTTAACTATTTAAGGGCTTCTACTTGACATTTTCTCCAAATGTTCACAAATTCGAATTGGCTATTAATACTACAGTTTCTTAAAGTCTGCTTCCTTTAGTTGTTCCCTTTGACTTACATCTATTTTTAATGTTTTTTCATTCTATTTGATGAATCTACAGTGGAAGATTGCTTATTATTTGAGTCATGTGTAAAAGATTTGTTTGTTTTATTATTGCAGCTGTCTCAAAGGACCATCTCAGGGTCCTTGCTGAAATACCTGTCTAAGTTACAGGTATTGCTTGAACCTTTCCAGTGTGGATTGACTTGTTGCTTATGCTGCTGAGTTACAAAGCTTGTATTTATTTTGGCTACAAGTTTGATCTCATTTTACTGTCAAAATTTACTTTCCACTTTTTGCCATTTTTGATTGATTAGTAAACTTATTTCTTGTTGGAATTAAGGGATTAAACCCTTTTCCTTTGTTATTTGCTTGTGTGTTGAACTTTCTTTGTGGTATCTCAGAAACTGGCTATTGTTTTGCAGGTTGATGAAGAACCAGCAATTCGAACAAATACAACCATCTTGCTAGGAAATATTGCAAGCTACCTAAATGAAGGGGTATGAGCTAAGTGCTGCCTGCAATGCACTGGTTTCATTCATATATTGTGCTATATTTTATGTTGATTTGGTGATTCAACTGATGCCTTTGGCACTATGTGCATGCAGACTAGAAAAAGAGTTTTGATTAATGCATTTACTGTCCGGGCTTTACGGGATACTTTCCCCCCTGCTAGAGGAGCAGGTATTATTATACTTTTCTATTACTTTTTTGTTCTCCATTGTGCTTTTGCTTTATTGATGTTAAGATGCCATTTCAGGGTTGACTGCTATTTTTCAATTTTGCATTTGTTTTTTACTCGAGAGACTCTTTTCACAGCTTCTCAATTTTCTATTGTTCAGGCGTAATGGCTTTAAGTGCCACCAGCTCCTATTATGATATACCTGAAATTGCAACCCGGATACTTCCTAATGTTGTCGTACTTACAATTGATCCTGACAGGTGATTTCAAGCCGATGGTTTTTGTTCTGCTGACTGCTATCAATCACTTTTATTTGGTTGACTCGTGTCTATCTTTCTTCATCAAACCACTGCCGCTTACTTCCTCCCCCTTTCCCCCAACTTATTAGCATTTCAAAACATTCTTTTGCTTCAATATCTTTTATTAGTGTTGTCCTGTTTATCTGTCTTTATTTCTTCGGTTTGATTGATGTTATTATCTGCTTCAATGTTGTTATTGTCATGGTTCAAACAGTGATGTTCGATCCAAAGCATTTCAAGCCGTTGATCAATTTTTGCAGATAGTGAAGCAATGTTACGATAAGGTATTTTCTGAAATTCTTTTGGCTTTTACTTGCAAATAATTGATGATTCTTTAAGCTGTGTGTATTTCTTCATGTGCAGTATGAATTAATAATTTTTCTTGAACTTGAGTTTAGGTTTCATATTAATTATTTTCGATTCTTTATTTGTTATCTCTGATTAAAATTTATAGATTAGGTATAGTTTATTTCGTTAGTTTACAATTTACAACTTAAGAAGTTATTTATTTGTTGTTTATGTTCTAAAAACAGTTAATTATTACTCGTCGTTACAGTTGCTCTCCTGAGGCCTACACCTTGTTATAGAATAACAAAAATTTTGATCTTCGAGCTCATACAATAATGGTGCATTTATGCCAGCTTTCACAGTTTCAGTGGTCTTGATTGTAGTAGAAGATTCAAAACCCAAATGAATTATGCGGAAATTATCAGTTGTTTGACAAACATTACCTGTTTCAAAGTAATATGAGATAACATTGGAAAAAAGGCCAAATCTCAGAACTGGCCCTTTTTATATGATTAGTCTGTTTTGAGTTACACAGATAACCCATATTTAGGATGATTCTTTTTAATGATTTATTATTTTTTCTGCTCCTTATTTAATTTTCATGTTTGTTTTCTTATATATTGTCTATTATAGACAAATACAGCAGATACTACTGGAGCTGTTGGCATGGGAATTTCATCAGCTCCAGGAAATGCTAGTTTGCTTGGGTAAGTCAGTCCGAATTTAAAATTAGATTGCAGCACATAGTATCTATAGGAATCAAATTGACATATTGGTCTCTCCTCATTGATTAACATGAAAATGGGCAAGAGTGAGTGAAGGAGCGAGAACAAGCAGCTGTTTGTCTAAATATGTGATGAATAAAGCTATAAGTAGATAGTACAAACTGCATGTTATAATTTTGTTCTATGATATTTGCTTTTGGTGCTTGCCTGTCTGCGAAAGCCGCTTGATTAGATACAAAATATAATTTTAAGGAAATTGTTGCAAGTAAGAAGACGTGTCTCCATGCAGATGGGCTATGAGCTCCTTGACCCTTAAGGGCAAACCTTCTGACCATGCTCCTCTTGCTTCTGCAAGTACCAGCACAGTTGCATCAACATCTTCCAATTCCAGTTCAAGTATGGCTAATGATCATTCTCTTTGTTGTTTTGTTTGTAATTTTTTTTTCCCATTGCGCACATGTATTTTTCTATTGGAAGCAATCTTGTTCCCATTTGAGACATGATTAGCTACTAAATATGGGCACCTCTTCTAGCAAAATTCCAACCTTGATTTTAGTAATGCATATTCCTCTGGTTCTCTGAATGTGAATATGTTTTATGGAAAGTGTTTTACCTGCCTTCCACTCTCATGTCCTGTCCTCCTTATCCCCTTGCCGCCTGCTTGTTTGTTATATGAAGAAAACTCGACGTTTTTCAGTACGGTATCCCCCAATGGGGCTTTGTTTCATTTCCTTTCCATTTTAATGCTTAATTCTATTGATGCATGTGTATAAGTTAACCTTTTTTATTATCTGGTAATCTAGGTGTGGACCCCCCATCAACAGCACCAGTCCGTGTAAGATCTACCTCTGATTTGGCTGAAACTGCTGTCCCTGCATCCCCTACATCAACAGATGGTTGGGGAGAACTGGAGAATGGAATTGAAGACCATGAAAATGACAAGGATGGTTGGGACGATCTGGAACCACTTGATGAGCCGAAGCCATCTTCAGCTCTTTCAAACATTCAAGCAGCTCAAAGGCGGCCAGTCTCTCAACCTGTTTCGCAGGCAAAGCATGGTTTTTTTTTTTTTTTTTTTTTGGGTTGGGATTGCCATGGCTGCAAGTTAATGCTTTTATGCTTCAAATGTCAGATGCAAGTTATATACTTGAGATTATGCTTGACCAGAACAAGAAATACAGAAGTTTATGTGTATCCTGATAACCGAGTTATATGAAGCATGTGAATTAAGGCTTGAGTTGAATGATTGTTCGGATTTTATCTTTTGCAAAGCATGCACCTAAGTTTTGGCGTGTGCTAGGATGGTAATTAATTGGATTGTTTTCTATTTTCTTTATTGTAGATTGCTTTACCATGATGACATATCACGTTATTTCAGCCTTGTACGTTAATTTATGAAATAACATTCTATAAGAAAAATGTATAAATGTAATACTGAAGAAAATACGTTTCGATTTATCTAGTATGTTAGTTTAGCACATTCTCATGCACTCTGGACTTGTACCTATCTGGTTATTTTTTATTTCGGATGTGTTAACTTGGAGTTTTTCATTTTTACTTAGCCTCAATTATGCGACCAAAAAGTGCGACAAAGTTGAGCAAGGATGAGGATGATGATTTGTGGGGTTCAATAGCAGTGCCTGCTCCTAAAACATCAAATCCTGCAGACGTGAAATCAACTGCTATTGATGATGATGATCCCTGGGCCGCCATTGCTGCACCAGCACCCACTACTAAAGCGAAGCCCTTATTGGCTAGCAGAGGTCGGGGAGTGAAACCTAGCGCTCCAAAATTAGGTGCGCACAGAATAAACCGGACATCATCTGGGATGTAAAACGAGTAGCCAGAGAAAAGGAACGAGTAAAGATTATGCGGATGTTGATCTATTTCTTCTGGGGGCCGTTATTTTTATTAAAATACAAGAATCCATGTGCTTATGATATATCAATTACATTGACATAGTTGATAATTGATTTGTAATATTATTCTTTGATATGCCCTGGTTTTTGTTCCGTGGGGGAATTTTTATGGCAGGTCCTGTTTCACGACGAGATTATATGCTTGCTGTATGTCAATTTTGTGTAATGTAATTAGTTTCTTCTTTCATTATACGGTAATTACTGGCTATTTTCATCAACGTACTTGTTTCCATTGCTATACTGGATATGCATGTAAGAAAGCTTTTTAGTGGCAGGAAAAACCATTACTGGTATTTTTCTCTTTTCTATCCGTTTTGACAACTTAAATTTGGTGCTAATAGCGCTTTTTCTCTGTTTCTTGGTTATTATTGATTTACTTTTGCTCTGGTTTCATTTGAGATTAAGATTCTGTATAAGGTTTGAATCCTTGTAGAGAGGTATTCATATTTAGTGTTCAATTGTGCATCGAATAGTATTGCCTCTTGTCGCTCCTGGTTCGGAATTTCTTGAGGAGGAAAATTGAATGAGAATAAATATTTAGGAGTCGTTAGCGAAAATTTAAAAGATAATTGTAAAATTTTTTTAACATGTAGTTTACGTATAAAGAAAAGAATAAGGAAGTTAATTGTGTGTTGAGAAGATGTTAGATATCTCACAACATCCATTCATGTGAATGATTATTTTAAGTTAATTATATAAATTTATATAGCCTTAAAAATATATTAATTATCTTTAATAAAAAAGTAAGAAAATTAAAAAGAAAAAATTTTATTTATTTATAAGTTAGATTTAATCTAGGATAAAATCCTAATGTTTACATACTTTTTTGATGGATCAAAACTCACATATTTTGAGGTAAAAATGTGTATCTCTTAGTTGAGATTTTTTTAAGAAAAATATCAATTATTTATTTTTTAAAAAATAATTTTAATGTTGGTTTGTAGTTTTTATTTATGAAAATATCTTATTTCTTTACTTGTGGCAAGATCTTGAGGGATAATTTTGTAAAAAAAATATTTTTTTAATAAAATTTATGAAAATTTCGTACATTCACCTTTAAAAAAATATTTTATTTTATTTTAGGAAAACTTTTATTTTTATTTAAGGATAAAATATTTTAAAATATGTACTGGCAATAATTTATCACTGTGCGAGATAAATTATTTGATTTATGAATTTGTGAAGATTCTGAAAGTCTCATATAACCTATAATTTCAAAACTATATATATGCAATAATTTATTACTATGTAATATAATAAATTGATTAACTTATAAACTTATGTAAATTTTGAAAGTCTCACGCAATTAAAAGAATATAAAATACTTTATAGATTCACATGTTAACAATTTATTCTCAAATTCAATTAGCTTAAAGTAATATATGATATTGAAACTTTTCTAGCAATTTAATTAGTGCATGTGCATATCATAGAGGCATAAGCAAAATGTTAACTATAAAATGAGATGCTGGATGGTATATTAAGCCATCATTATACACATCAAGACAAAAGGCCAATTAAGTGATTTTCTCAAGGGTAAATGACGATTTCCTCGAACACACATAGGACTACACAAGAAGACAAAAGTATGAGATGAACATTGGAGGATTATTCAAGACAAGACGGCAAGCAGTGTATGTGTAGGTTAATATTTCTAACCATTAAAGAATTTAAGACTTAAGCTTTAAGACCCAATTTTTAAAATATCTTGATTATCATTTTATTTTAAAATCTCTGAATCTAAATATTAGATATTAGATTATATTATCTCAAAATCTTAACATCATAATATTAGATTATATTATATTCCAATCATTATATTATTTTGAGATATTCAAATATTTATAGATCATTATTATATTAGGCTTCATTATATTTGTATCATTTTTTATTATCTTCAAATCAAAGATCTTTTAACTTTTTATTTATTTATTTTCTTGTTATAAATATTTTCTTATTTTCATTCTCATTATTTTCTCTTTTTTATTATTTTATTATGAATGTTACCTTATTTATTTATTAAGACTCGAACAAAATATAGTATTCACACCTCTAATAGAAAGATATATGTGAACAATAAAAAAAAGTTAAGATTTTGTTCTCTCTTTATCGGGTCTACAGTTTTTTGGGAGAATTTCATTTTAAGCACTACAGTAACTATTTATTTATGAATCAAACCCAAAAATTCTAAAATTACATTATACTCCTCTGATCTTATTTATGAGGTAGAGAGAGAAGAAAAAATTGGTCCTATAAATACTTTCCAATTCTCAATATTTTTTTTTACATTTTTACCCTTATTAAATGCTTTAAAAAAAATACTGGTAATGAGATTTAAGAACATTTATCAAGAGTAAAGGTGGAAACTTATTCATTTTTAAGACAAAGTTATTGAGGTTTGAAATTTTTCTTAATTCTGATAAAATATGTTAAAAGTGATTTATAAATAAGATCAGAAAGAGTAGAATTTTGAAACTATAGTGAAGTAAAATGATGAAGAAAAATGACCAAAATGTTCTTGAATGATATAAAGGAATTATTAACATGTAAAATCTCTAATATTGAATGTCAATTTCCTTGTGTTACTTGTTAAATCCATGACGTTACTTGTATATTATCTAAAATTTATTAAATCCATTCACCATGACCTATTAAGTTATTAATTTTACGTGTAAAATCACCAATGTCATTTGTTCTCTTGTGTTACTTGTTAAGTCTATAGTTTTATTTGTATATTATCTAATTTGTGTTAAATCTATTGACCATCATTTGTTAAATTATTAATTTTACTTGTGAAATCGTTAGCATTACTTATTAATTCCTTTGTATCACTTGTTAAGTCCATAATTTTATTTCTGCATTTATATCTAACTTGTTAAAATCCCCAATCATAACTTTTCAAATTATTAACTTTACTTGTAAATTCACTTAACATTATTTGTTAATCTCTTTATGTTACTTGTTAAATCTATAATGCCATCGGTTTTAAAAATTAGAGCAATTTAGTCATTTCACTCCAAAAGTTTATTTTAATTAGGTCCTGTAATCTTGCAATGGAAATTTTTTTTTGGGTGTTTTTGTAAATAAATAGCTACCATAGTCCATAGATGAAATTCTACCTATTTGTTCCCCTTTAATTGAAATGTGGGTGAAGGTAGAGGAGTTGGCTTTCCTCCTATCTTCTCTCATTTGATATTTAATATATTAACAGGCTATAAAATATTTTTCATTACACTTCTAAACTGTTCAAGAAAATTTTAATAATTTTATTCGATAGCCAACTGTTCAAGCAGAAATGGAAAGAGCCACCTGTATTTCAGCCTGCGATTGTGCTTTCTTATTTTTTATTTTTCAACCAGCTCCCTGTGATAAGCTCGAAAAATGTCGTCTTGGCTCTGGCCCGAGGGGTTTTGAAGCATAAAAAGGGGTGAGCAATCAAAATGCAAATTTATTTAGTTTTTCCCCTGAATCCGATCGGATGCTGTGGGTTTGTATATAATCTGATCTATATGTGACTGGCTAAGACTTGTATCATGCAGAGATCAGCCAACAAAAAAGGTCGAAGACAATGAGACTGCCCAAATCTCTTTGCTCTGCAAAGGTTGGGGTCTTCTCAATTTCTAATTTATAGTTCTTTCCTCTGCCTCTGTTCAGGAAAATTGAAATGATAACTGTTATCCTGTGACGATGACTTGCCAATCCTTCGTCAGATTCGTGTTTTGTGAATTATGGCGCTTTTCATAATAAAATGAATTCATCTTTAAAAATTCATGGCGGATGTGAAAAGGGCTCACCACGAAAGTCCAGTGAGGTCGTGAAATCCATCAAGCATCGAGACGACCAAGGAAAATGAAGTCTATGCTGTGGTGACATCAGCATCCACTTTGTTCAATTCCATTTGAGAGGAGAGCTCCGAGACTCCGACAAAACTAGTGGCTCCCTACCTATGTTATCGCCGACTTTTCCAATCCTCGATCCATCATCGAGAAAATAAGATGAAAACGCGCGCGCAGGCATACAGTGTTGGCTGACTTTAATATGATGAAGGCTAAAGGAGAGGGATCGCGATGTAGAAGGCATCAAGAAACGCACAAAGGCTGTTCAGAGCGGGGAGGAGCCGGCAGCGTTGGATGTGGTCACGACGTTGATTAGTTGAAACATAAAACGGGAAGACTGAAAAGAGGAGTACGGACAAGATAGATGGGCCGGCTGAACTGTGCCATAACTCGGTTTTTTTTTTTTTTCTTTGGTTACTCTTGGAAGACAATCCGTAATTCTATTCAAAACATAATGTAACATTAAGTGTGTACACCACTTCACATAAAAGTCTGAATATTATTTGTCTAACTCATCTCGCTGAACCCAAATCACACAGTCCTAGTTGGTGGGCCTCGATTGTCACATCACGGGGGAGACAAAAAAATAAAAAAATTTCACAACAGCAAATGATAACAATATTACGAAAAGATGCAATTATTTTTTTTTTGTTTTTTTTGTTTTTAACAAGGAAGCCACAAACTATCCTACTCGACTAGCCAGAGTACAGTTCTCCCGAAGCCTATCATGCTGAATCACGCTGGAAACCCCTGGGGGAGCATGAAAGAAGCCATGAAAACCAGGTAGAGCCGATAAAAGCTCGCTTTGCAATCCAATCCGCCGCAGCTTGATTCCAATCTCGCATAATACGGTGGACTCCGCAAAATTTCATCTGCCTCTCTATAAAATAACAGAAAGTATTTTTTGGGTAAAATTGCATTTTTGACTCTAGAAAGTATAGTTAAAATCTAAACGAAAATTATTAATAACGAATATAAGGTTGTTAATATAAAAAAATATAATCGCTATTGTATAACTAAACTTAAATTAGGGCCAATGTTGTTAATACTTAAATTAAACTTAAATTAGGGCCAATGTTGTTAATACTTAAATTAAAGTTGTTATAAAAGGTTAAGACAAGAATTATGATAAGAAGTATACTTGTTATTGTATAATTAAATTAATATCTACATTTTTTATTTTAATAACTGTATCATCGTTACAAACAATTTTAATTTAGGTTTTAAAGCCACAATTTTTATTAATTTGTTGATGATCATAAATGTAATTTTACCAATGTCATAAGCCCCTAAAGACTTCAAAACAGATCTCATTTCATGGTTCTCTTTTATCATTTGCCCATCTTGATATGATCTATTTGTCATTCTGTCTAATGCTATTGCTATTGTTATTTCATTTTTACAAAAAAAAAATAACTATTGAATCTTATAATTTTGACTTAGTTAAAACTTAAAACAATATTTGAATTTGGATTTAATGCAACTTAATTACTATAGTTTCAACTCGATTAAAATTCTGAATATTGGCTTACTGCTATTCAATTCCTAACCCTTTAAAATATTTAAATACTAGTTTTGAATATTAGAAAATAATTTATAAGGACTTAAGTTATTTCTTGAAACTCAACACTAATGTTTTGAATTGTTAAGACTATAGAAATTGAGTTATACTTTCTCTATCTTAAATTATAAAATAACATTAAAAAATTTTTTTGCCTCCAAATATAAGATCATTTAAAAAAATAAAGATTTCATTGATAATATTTTTTAACATTACTCTTCATTTGAAAAAAGAAAATGATATTACTATAGCATAAATGCATGACAATTAATTGGGTAGGGCATTTTTAAAAATTTATAATTTTATTTAAAAAAAAAGTTGGTAAAGTGCTATTATTGTATTTCGCTTATATGCATAATAATACTCCTAAAGAGGAGTATTAAGTTAAAATTTTAGAGATTAAATTCGACCTGAATTAAAACTAAATACACTAAGTTAAATTGTATTAAAATTTTGAAATCTAGTTATAATTAAGTGAAAATTAGAAGGATGAAATGATTAATAATTATTGTTTTTAATTCCGGCCCCTTTCATTCACATAAGTGCGAGGTAGTAATTAATAGCTGTGAATTCTGGAAAAAGAGTTGGGCAAAAAATAATACATGTAGTTTGATTCTAAATTGTTCCCCTTCATTTTCCCGTGACTTCTCGATCCCAAAATCCAACAAATACACAATTAAGCCAGATACGACTAGGAGAAGGAAAATGCATCCAACATTCTACTCCACGACCCCAGCAAGAGGGGACGTTTAAGGATGGGGATTCCCTGGACTGGATTCACTCAGAGAGTGCGGTCGGAAAAAGAATAATTGGGGCGTGCGGGGGGGCAAGTGGCGGGAGCGGGAGGAGGATCAGGGATGTAATTGCACCAGAACCAGTGCGACTTCCAGACCATGTTCATCTCCTCGATAGGGACGCCCTTGGTCTCAGGGAGAAGCGCGTAGATGAAGACGGTCATGATGGCGATAAAGCCGGCGAAGAAGAAGAGGAGACCGAACTTCATGTGGCAGAGCATGGTGAGGAAGGCCTGGGCAATGATGAAAGTGAAGATCATGTTCACGGCCACGTTGATTGCCTGACCGGCGGATCTGACGTCGAGCGAGCACACCTCCGTGGGCACCAACCAGCCCAAGGGGCCCCAGGACCAGGCGTAGCCGGCCACGAACGCGCAGATCAGGAACAAAAGGCGTCGCTCTCCCCCTTGTTCATCGACCCCTGCCCCGTCACGCCGTACTTCGCCGCCAGCAGGATGGCTGCCCCGCACATGCACGCTATCATCTGCACTCCTCCTTCCAGGAACAACCACCTCCTTCCCACCTTGTCCACTGTGAAAACCGACACGAACGTCGCGCCCACGTTGACCACGCCGGTGATGACCGACGACATGAGGGACGCGTCGTCCCCGAAGCCCAGAGTCTTGAAGAGCACGGGAGCATAAAACATGATGATGTTGATGCCCGTCATCTGCTGGAAGAAAGGGACGAAGATGCAGAACGTCAGCTGCGGCCTGTACTGGCTCTTGGTCATCTTCTTCCACGGGTTCCCCACCTTCCTGGCCGCCTCGCACGCCTCCATCAGGTCCTGTAACTCTTCGTCCACGTTTTCCACTCCTCGCACCTTGATCAGCATTTTCTTTGCCTCTTCCAGCCTGCCTCTCTCCAGGATGGAGTTTGGAGTGTCCGGCAGCAGCATGGACCCCACGGTCAGGAGCAGTGCCGGCACGGCTGCGAGTCCCAGAGATACCCTCCACCCTATCCCTCCTTTCATCTTGTTAGTCCCGTAGTTCACCAAATTCGCCACCAAAATGCCGATCGTGATCGCTATTTGGAATCCCATGTTCAGAGCTCCTCTTATCTTTGCCGGTGCCATTTCTGATAAATATACTGGAACTGACTGTATACATCATATATATATATATATATATATCGAGCATTTTACTTGATGATTGATCAACGTATCTATCACTCACGCACGCTCGCCCACGCATTACCTACCTGGTTAGCAAATCCAACCCCTACTCCCAGCAAGATCCGACCGACAATAAGCATTGTGATATTAACTGCAAAACCGTTGATGACAGCGCCTAGGAGGAAAACAACGCCTCCGATGAACATGGACATTTTTCTTCCGAATGACCTTGTCACTGCTGAGGCAAAGAACGATGATGCTAGTGCTGCCAGGTATAGCGAAGAAGTGAACAGGGTCAGCAACTGACTGTCGAATCTGCAGTACATATTTTCTGCTCCATTAGCCACCGTGTTCTTTTCTGTATACTGCGGGAAAAAACTTTTCCAAGAAAACATCCATTGAAGTAACCCCACCTGCAGCCAGGCCAGTGTATGTATATAACATACAAATTCATAATTTAATTCGTTTCTCACATACAGATCATGACGTGCATGATGAAAATATACATACACGTACCCGAGATTCCAAGGTCATAACCAAATATGAGACCTCCCATGGCAGCGACTATACAGGTCACAATTACAAAGGCGGTAACCCTTCCCTCATAATGTCTCGCCGGACCATCCTCAAAGCCCTTCCTGCCATACACTCTCCTCTTTTCTCTCAAACTCTTGCACTTGTGTATGACCGCAACACGACCTTGCAACTTTTATATGCATACTTTGAACGGCTACGCAGCAAAATTGCTTACCTCTATTTCTATGGATTATTTTACAAGCTTTTGGAGTTCTCGGTTTTGAATTATTTTGACTTTATCCTTTTTTTCTACTGGTCAAAATCCGTTTTTACTCTAATAAGTATACTTCTAAACAAGGAAACTAAGAGTCTCCGAGTTCAATCTGCTGTGGTTAATTATTTTGGAAATTTTGACCAACAGTAATATGGTAAGTATAAATATCTGCGGGTGTAGTTTTCATGCTCATCTCACGTGTTTGCTCATCCTTGAGATGAAATTTAGACCACATATGTCAAATATAATTTCATATTATTATTTATTAAAATAAAAATTTTAAAAATTATAAAATAATTTTAATAAATTTTTATTTTAATAAAATATAATATTATATTATATAATAATATTTAAAATCTGAACAATTTAAATTAAAATTTAAATAGTCTAAATTTTATTTTAAACATGAGCTAATCCTTAGAGTGAGTAAGGAAACTAGTTCCAACCTTCTGCCTTCCATTCCTTACAGTACAGGGTTACACACCGGCAACTTTTTGCTGTTTGTTACACAATCATTGTTAACTATAAAAATCAAAAGTAAATTAGAATGCCAGTGAAATAAAATGGGAAGTGGCTTTCGCATTTACTTAAACACGGTTATTAGCAAGTGAATACGTATTATTAATATGATGGCAAAAACAAAAAAGAATAAATATAGAGACTTCCCTTCGATTTTAATTAAAACATGCATAAACCATTCCCAAAGTGAAAAAAAAAAATGTGTTGTAGACTTCTTTATTTTAAAAATTTCATTTTCGTACGCCCGATGATTAAATTATCATTAATTAAATCACATCTTTTTTGCCAAAATATTCCTTTTCAATATAAATATTATTTTAAAATCAAATTAACAAAAAATTTCTATTCATATTTTTTAAAGAATTGATCATATTAAAAAAATTGATTAATTTAATAATTTAAAATTTTTCAACCATATTTATTTAAGCACATTTGTTAAGTAATCTTTTAAAGTTTAACCACCTACCTTGGCTAAGAAAATCTTTCAAATATGAAGATTACTGAATAAATTATACATATTGACTTAATAAAATTTAGAGTAAAATTAAAATAAACTATATCGACTTATCCCTAATTAATTACATTAGTTTCAAACGTCAAGAAAACTATTTTATTTTATTTTATCCCACAAATCGGATTAAAAGCAGCTATCAATTAGCCTATCACCAAATATTTAATTCAAAGAATGCAAAGATGAAATGAACCCGGCCATCTTTAAAGTATTACACATTAATGCTTTATTTGGACGGGAAATAAAATGAGCAACGAGAGGAAATGGAGAAAAACGTTCTCTCTTTCCAGATTTAAGAGAGAGTGGACAAAAACAATAACAATCAGACTAATTTTACAGTGACACTAATGCCCATATAGAAATTATAAGTATCTTGTGCTTTTGAAGCACTTGTTTTCTGTTATAAATCTCTTCACTTTCTAGTTTTTAAAAAAAAAAAAAACAAAAAAGTAGATCCGGCGCATAACTAAGCAACAAAATATGATAAATATGAATAAAAACAATATATAATTATTAGCCTAGAAAACATCTTCAAAATTTTAGGATACAAATATGAAAGCATATAAATTATATAATTCAATATTTTAAGAGATGCGACCGGATATTTTGAGTTTTAAATAATATAAATATATTTACAATAATCAACTAAAATATTTTTTTAAGTTTTGAAGTCATAGAAATATTTTAACAAAAATACATTAACTACATTAAAATAGTAGAATACATGAAATATAATATGCATAGCGTATCATATATGTGACGGAACCAATACGTTTACTTTTTTTTTTTTTTTTAAGTATTAGTACTTCATAGTTAGTGATAGCACAGTCGGACTGTAACTTGTATTGCCTGGCAATGAAATAAAAGTCGCTGGTCCAAGTCTGGCACTGAAACAACCAAGCTAAGCAGAAACAACGTTACAGCATTAGCCGCATGTAAGTTTAAGAATAGCATATAAATCAGCAAAAGCAAATACGAGCACATCACATCTCAATGTCTTCAAGATCCGGGAGAGGAAAACGAAGAATTGCTGCAATGCCACTTATCTGTGCTAGCTCTGTCCATCAATACAAAATTGACAAATTTAAAATAGAACAATAATTTAGATGTTTCCACCGAAGCTCTCTCTACTTCACGAGGCAATAAAAAGAAAAGCTCGCTGTCCTACTATGTTTGTTTGGATATCAATCCCTTTTTATAATGAGTGCACAAGTACAGTTATAAAAATAACATTTTTACGAGACACACACACACACACTCTTCCTTTTAGTTATAATAGACTTATCTTCTTAATATTGCATTTGAGCACTGCAAGGGATCTAAACCTATGTTTCTTTACCTTGGTAGTAGCAATGATGATCCTCGACACCCAAAAAAAAGGACACAAGAATGATTCAAAATAGAAAACAAGGAAAGATAAGGGTAGAATAATAATACTCACGTTCCCCAGATACGTGCATGGACGAGAATACATGGACAGATCCTCCTGAATCCTTAGCTGAGTTGACTAGGCTGACATACTTCTGCCTCCTTGTTATATCCGGATTCCTATTACCAAAAAAATGGAGATCCATAGAACTCACAATTATACGTCGTAACTTCCCAAGCAATCAAACATGATGCTTAATATAAACTTCTCAGTTATCAAGACTATCTACTTCATCAGAAAAACGAGGGCAGGCAGGTTTGAAAATGTTGAGCGACAAGTTTCTGAAGCCATTACTGTGACAGTTAATTATCTAAATCAGTAATTAAGGATAAATTTGTATGAAGATAATTCAGAAGACTGCATTGCAATGAACCACACTTTATATACTATACCGTCCAAAATTGAAAAAACAGCCGCTCTAACACTTTCACTAGGAAAAGCATTAGTATTCCCCATGCTTGAGACGCAGTTAGAACAAAAAGTGAAATGAGGATTCGTGAAGCATGTCAAATTCATGAGATGAAGCAGCCCCTAGGCTCCTTAACCCCTTCTAATTAAAGGGACATAACTGTAGACTCTTTAATTGAAACCATTTTCAAGCAGGTATGGAGAGATGAGATATATGACTGAATTTATCAAAAATGGAGCATATATCAAACGAGCATGAATAAGATAGCACCAAAAAGCGCCCTGTTTTTCATTCAAAATTTCAGAGGGCTTAAATACAAACCTGAAAAGATCATCTGTAATGAGAAGTGATTGCACAGCTAGACGTTCAATGGCAACCTCAACATGCTTTAATCCATAACAAGCACGGGATGGATCCTGGTCAAACCCAAAAAATCTTCGATTTGCATTTCCTAGATGTCTGAAAACGTGAAATCAAAAAAAACAAAGAAAGAAAGAAAGAAAGAAAGAAAAAGACAAAGAAAGAAAGCAAAGAATACATTGTTGCTTGGAGAGCCATTCCCTATAAGAAAAGGAAATAGAGATCAGTTACACGTAAAAGTTTATAAGCAACCTCAATACTCTTCAGAATGTGGCACTTGCTACGTTCAACAATGTATTCCCTTTCATTAATTTTAGGGCATCATATTTCTCCATTATGATCTCGTATCTATTGAGAAGAAGATGATAGAAAATCATTTGAGATGGTTTAAACACGTACAAAGAAGTTTGTGAGAAGCTCCAATGTGGCAAGGATAGAGCAGGTAATTCTGGCCAAGCTTGACAGGCCAATCCAAATAAACTCTAAAAAATTTAAAGCTAAACTTAAAATAATACATTTTTAATGATCAGGCCTATTTGAGTTCGGGCCAAACTTGAGCCTGATTAGGCTTATCCCAAATATCCGAATAACATTTTTCTTTTTATATATATATATATATATAAAGAGTATATTTTTCTATTTTTAAAAATAAAATAATTAATTTTAAATAAAAATAATTTTTCAAATAAAATATTTTGTAATTCGGGTATTCGAGCTTGCTAAAATAAGCACAAGGGTGTTTAGACTGGGCTTGGCTATTTAGACTTTTCTATAAGTACAAGCTTATTCGGTCAATCTAAATTGAGCTTAACCCAAATAAGCCCAACCCACCTAAAATAAAATAGATAGTCTTGAACCTTGTAATGAAGGGCAAAAGAAGACCAAAGAGAACATTCAAGGAAGTTGTTGAACGAAATCTTTCGATTAACAATATACTTAGAGTTTTAGTTATTGATAAAGCACAATGACTTTGTGCAATTCATATGTTTGACCCCACCTAATAGGATAAGGCTTGTAGTTATTGTTGTTGTATTTCCCCATGTTGCTATTTATTTCTATGTAGGAGATTATAGGAAAGGACCCAAAGGTGATGACATTCAGGGCCATTTGGCATGATGGTAGGTGTGGTATGGAAATGAAATTAGGAGAAATGCTTGTGTGGTGTGATAGAATTGAAAAATTTACCAATTCCAAATTTTGGCTTCCATAAAAAGACCTTAATTTTCAAATTCCATGTTCCCAATTTCATTTTGTATCTTTTCCTCTCTTGTCCAGCTCCTGTTTGTTGAACTAGGTCTGTGAACGACAGTGACCTCCTGTCAACCTTCAAGGTTCCTGCCAACCAACTTATCACCCACTTCCGGCAACTTTCTTAGTGACGACAACCTCTTTTGTTGACAGCATGTGGTTGTTTCCTCTTTGTCAACAATGACGATCTCATTCACTCTTCACCAAATGGCAAGGATGAACCAGGGTCTTAAAACAGCAAGGACGAACCAGGGCCTGCAAACAGCGAGGAAGCACCCACATGCGACCGCATACCCACTGATGCCATGAAACTTAAATACCCTTTGAAGAAAGGAAACCAATATGATTTCCAGCGACCTACAGCAATTTCATAATCTCTCCTGGCTTCTGCTTTGTCTTGTTTGTGATTTCTTCCTCCTCTTCTTCAGTGCATCTGGTTGAAGCTCAATGGCAGATTTCATATTCCTCTTCATGATTTCTTGTACATTCTGCTTCATCATGTTCTACCTTCCCTGCACTTGATTTTTGCTTCCACATGGTTTTTGGTTTGTCGATTATGCCAGATTGTCAATGACAGTGCCATTGTTGATTCTGGTGGAGTTTTCTTTTTTTATTATTATTCTGAAGGGTATTTTTGTATTTTATCATTTTAAATGCAGATATTAATTAAAAATTAAATTAGATTTCCATATTCATACCAAATATATTTTTGAACATTATATCAATTTTCATTTCCATATCCATTTCTATTTCTACATCCATTTTCATTTCCATCAAAATCACTTCTATTATATTACACAGGGCTTGAGATTTTGTTTTTCTGGGGCTAGAGACATCGGGAAAAAAAAAATTACCACATCATAACAAGGATAAGCACACTATTGCAATCAAGTAATGACCGTTACTCAAGAAATTTACATTTTGGGTCACTAACAACTATTTTTTCTATTTATCCTTTTTGAGAAGCGGGAAACACTTGACACTCACTTCAGGCTTGGGTAATTGACATTTTAACCACATAGACAAGACAAATAAAAGTATCTCAAAAATAGAACCTGACATTTGAAAGCATGTTGTAGAAATCCTTCAAAATTCGAACCTGGAAAGAAGGAGAGAAAAAAAAAATTAAACTTGCTCCCAGGCTCGGGAAGATAATTCACAGGATTAGCACACAGCTAAGAAGGCCAGAGGAGACAAAGCAAAAAAATGCAATACAACTAGTAATTTAGTTTCTATGATACCTCTAGAGCTGCTTTCGTATCTTTTATCATATTCATGACATTTGGCGCATCCAAAACCTCTCTCAAGCTATGCCTAACAAGGAGAACGTCTAATGTCAGTCAAAGATATCAGCTGAATTACAGAGAACTTACATGCTAAACTAAAAGGTCTATTCTTGAAACAGAATCTCAAAATTATGTATAATACTATTTTTCTTTTCCTCACATTCAAAATGATAGATATGTAATTGAGAATCAGAACTAGATTATCTCAGTGCCTTGACATCACAGCATATGCTGATTTATGCCATGGTTCACCATAAAGTAATGTTGCCATAACTCCTAAACTCCAACAGTCTGCCATACCTAACTTATTCATTCTTCCTAGACGTTCATTTAATAAACTAGGAACCTGCCTTCCTCTAGCTGCCATATCATCAGCCATTAAGTGGAGAGAAAATAAAAAGAATTGTAACTTATGCTAACTTCAAGCATATAAGATTTAGATAAAAAAATAAGAACTGTTAAGGAACCGCTTCTGTAAGCTGCATCTATATGGCCATGATCATTTTCATATTTTTTTTACTTCATAGTTGTTACTCACTAATGTCTTATACTGGGAATAATGAAAAGATGACGGAATTCAAAAAAACCAATCATACTTGTATCCTGAGCTTGTATGCACAAGAAGGATACGTGACTTGTTCTCGATAATAGGTCGCAACTGTTTTCTTTCTGCTTCTAATAATAAGTGACGATGAAATTGATCCTGAAATGGGCAGAGACATAAAACATAGGCATAATATAGTCTAATACACCAATATCCAATCTTACCTGTTTTACTGCGAAGTCATCCAAGATTGAGATTTAGATCATTATAAATAACTAATGCTACAGCTAAACAAAACAGCTAAAAGCCTAGAACAGTAGGAACAAAGATCACGAATGATTATAGACCTTTGTGAATCCAGGACTTGCAATTACAGCACATCGAACCACATTGAAATCAACATGTTTCAAGAAAGCCTGAAACCGATTATAATGACCAATAAACTTGAAAAGGCACAATTAATTTTTATAAACAGGAAATATTTTAGTCTAAGTCCTCAGATAGAACTTACATGCAAAACATTATCAAAAAACTTATTCAAAGCCTGCAAATGGAAGGAAGATGCTTTAGTCATAACATGATATTGAGATTATCAAATTTATTCACTGATATGGCTAGCAGTAATGAAAATATACTAGTAAGGAAGAGAGTGAGAGAACATACTGCCTCATAACCAGCAATAGCAGGTCCATGCTTGCGAGGAATTGAAGTTTCAATCCGTGACCGAGTAACAGTCATACTGTCAAGTCAGTCATATTAAGATGATGAATGTTTTAATGCAATGGCACAACTAGATGTAAGAAATGGCACACAATTTCAGCGAGAACAATTAATTCCCAATGCTCCTGGTTCCAAAGAACTCAAGCAGACACCTACAAGCCTCATATAGCATATATCAATGTTTTTCTGCAATCTTAAATATCTTTCAAAGACAGACAAAAAGTACCCAGAAAATCCTCAAAAACTGCTGTTTATTAAAAAAAAATATCAACTTGTTCATGTTTTGCATAAACATACATTTGATACATTGGACCACAAAAGAGGGGTATATTGGAAATTCTATAGGATTTGGATAAATTAATCCTGTTCAATTGAAACTTACTAGTACCTTCTACCAACAAGGAGGATATGCGCCAGTCCTTCTTGCATCAAAATCACAGCTAGATCAGCACTTGCACTAGGATCTGCAATATTGGAATGAAATTTTTATTCACCATATTGATTACTGATGTACATCAAAACTTATGTTCCAAACTGACAAAAATTAGCTGTGTGACATGACCTGCCTCATGACTTTAAATGCATTTGAATGTGACCATATATGAAGCTCTATTGAATTTTTTCTACCATTTTCCTTAATTTGCCCACTTAAATGGGTGCAAGCACAAATCTAACACACAAGAATGTTATTCTGCATTTTACTTTTACACCATATGTTTGGTTCAATAACAATACACAGTCTGAACTTAGCATTAATACAGAAATATTTTCAAAATTACAAGTCTGGGAATTCTCATATACATAAATCACACAACCTCTAAAGTACAATTATAAATGTACATTCCCCAATAAAAGAAGGTAGTAAAAACAGAAAAAATTGATAACATACCTGAGGCCTGTTGCAGCATCTCCAAAGCCAAAGAATCCCAAACATCCTACAAAAGGCAAAGTGAAACTTTAAGCACTTCCACTGCCCACTCCCTCAAGTTTGGAAGTAGACCACCTTAATGGTATACCCAAATGAGCCAGGCGTCAATCAAAAGATCTAGCTCTTATATATGTCAAGCACCTAAGTAACAACATGCCAGACACAAATGGCATGAAATAAACTTCAGACTTCAGCTGTAACCTTAGCTACATAAGAGAAGCAAAATGAACCACACCTTCCTGAGCACAAATGGCCGTTGCATCTCAAGTTCTAAAGTATGGAATGCCCCAATCTGCAAATATAAAGATGAAAGGTTATATTCACCACTGATGGCTGAACTTGCAATTCTACATGGAGTACATAAATTTGGGAGAGCATTACCTTAACATGTTCGTTCTCCATAATGTTTTTTCCACGTACACGCAAGACTGACCCTTCTTTGTCATAATCTGCCACCTGAAAACAAAGAAAAAACATCGGACGCAGGGAACTTGAAATTATATTGAACAGGACTAACTTATGTGTCTCCTACCTCCTCAACTTTAATTTCCAATTTCAGCTTCATACGTTCTGCTTCTCGTCCACCAGAAGCCATTTCTCTAAGAACCTTCCTATTACAGTTAGGAAAGATATTGAAATTGAGGATACAGCTTAGACTACCAAGTTTCAGTAACTATAGATTTCAACTTCAGTGTTTGATGCAACACACACTCACACACAATAGCACAGTTTTGGACAGAGGGAGAGAGCAGAGAGAAACCAAAATTAAGGAGGGAGAAATGAAGAAGATGAATAACAGAATAGTGGGGGAGCAAGAGAGAGAGAGAGGGAGAGCTACCAGACTTTAATCATGATATTCATTCATTCATCAAGTGTAGTATTACAAATGCAAGCTAGTCTATTTAAAAAAAGCTATAATGCCTAATAAGAAAACCTTAATTAACATCTCCATATGAAGACAATGTTAAGATTTCCTCTTACAAATTATTAAAATAACATAAAGGAAACAACATATTAAAATAATACAAAAAAACCTATTTCTTTCTAGAATAACAATAATTTACTAGCCTAGTTTTCTTCAAAATATATTATTCTTCTGTTTCATCAGTGTTCTTATCCCATGAATCGTTGTAATTAGTCATAAAACTCAGTTCAAACATGGCAAGTGGAAGCTCAAGTCGTTGAAAATGTGACTAGAATGGGCTAAATGACTAAAAAAACTCCACTACCAATTACAATAGGGGTTCCTTCCAAGTTGAAACAAATTTTCTTCGAGGGATACAAATAGCATAAAGAAGTACCTCACAGTAACAGCCATGACAGAGTCTCCGGGAGCGATCAAGTTATACGCAAACCATAAGTCATCCGAATCAATCGGTACCATCTACAAATAAAATGCAAAATCAGATAAAATTCAGAATTAATGATACGGCGAGTTATACTTCGCACAGGCCTATACCCGGGAAAGGAAACAGTATGAATCATAGCGAACGAGTGAGAAACCACAGGAAAAAAAAAGAGAGAGTCTACCTCGCGTTGAGTCAAAAAGAAAAACTGAAAGAAGTTTGGTTTGGTTGGAAATTATACCTTAACGCTCCCGGGTCCATCGGCTACGAGGTCTTTCCGAACGATCCTCATGCGAATATCAATTACAATTGTCCACTAGAAACTCTCACGGACATAAGAAAACCAAATCAAACTATGATGCGTGTAATTGAGAATGCGTAGAATGAATGGCAGTGATCTAAACCAGCCATTATTCTTTGACAAGTGAATTATAGGATGATCAGAGCTTAATTTAAGAATGAAGGCACCCGTAAATATCCAGTATGGACATCTCACATAGGCTTAGCCCTTTGCACACGTATATCGTCTCTCTCCAATCTGCGAAAGCGGAGGGAGGGGAAAAGCCGGCAAGCAGAACAAGGGAAAGGCACTGAAAATAAGGTGGGCCCGCCCCTATTGTTCCACATTCATTAGCTGGGATCCCCAACGTTACCATATTTTTGTTTTATTAACATATTTTTGTTTATTTTAATTTAATTTAAATTATATTATATTAACATAAAATTACAATTAAATTATTAAATTAATCTTAAAATTGTAGACGGACATTTGAGTAAGGGACAATTGCAGTTAAGGCCTCAAAAAGAAATTAATCACACATAAAACCTAATGGATTCTGAAACTTTTTTATAAGTTCAAGAGTTTCAATTGCAATTAAATTTATTGGTTTAATTATTAAAATGCCTTTGATTTATATAAAAGAACAAAAATTCCATTGTTGTCGGAGCTTTGTCATCAATGGATAAGCCACCGTTGGACTTTGGTTGTTAGTCATTGAAGCTCCAATACTGACAAGTGGTCAATTATTGGTTTTCAAGCATTTATGTTACTTGTTGTTTGTTATGAACGTACTTTTGTTTTACCCCAACAATCACTTATAAATATGCAAACACTATAACATCCTAAAAATAGGATTAATCAAAATTAATTAAAGGGTTGGGTTAATTAGTCTAGATCCTAATTAGATTAATTAGAGTGATAGGACAACCCTTGGGTTCAATGAACCTTATATGAGAGCAAAAATCAGACCCTAAATATTATTGGGTCACTTTAGACTTAGTTTAATTGGCTTAAGTAAAGGCTTCCATTTTTTTTCATACACTATAGTGGATGGCACAATTTGCCATGACAAATACGCTAAAATTTTAAATTCACAAAAAGGTGAATTTTTGTCAAAATGGAATAGAAATTTAAGAGAGTAAGTGAGAGAACGAAGGGTGCCTTACTAGGGTACTGTTGTCCAAATTTCCAACAAGTTTTCACACACTCTGATGATACTAATGGAGTCTAAGGGTGTTGTTTTAAGCTTATAATCATCGACTTATGTTAATAATAATGGTTATGATTGCTAATGGTGGGTTTAAAGTTAACCCTAATATTAATTAACTCAGATTGAGCCAATGAGGAAGTTTAACAGTGTTAATTAAGCTTTATAAGGTTTAAATAAGCTAAAGGAAGTTAAAAATGAGATTGTTTATAGTTAATATTGTTAAATAAGGTCTCAGGTCTTAATCACAATTAAGGATTAGTTAATGATAATTAGCCATCAACAGCATTTGTTAATCATAAATTGTAGATTAACTACTCTTGGAGTTCATGGAGTTATTATGGGCCTCCTTGGATTCCATAAGGTGGTAAAACAATAGTTATGATAATCGAAAATTAAATTTTAGTATTTGTTTATGCCTGCATTTATGAGCTTGATTGATTATAGTGTGCAAATGAATGGCTTTAAGGTATGCTATTAAACTCATATGTGTAAACATGGCTTGATGAATATGATATGAGTTGAGTGATGATATAAGTATGTATTGCAACATCTTAAATTTTGAACCTGGAAATTTTAAGTATTTAATAAGACTAAATTGGTCAAATAAGTTATATATAATGTTTTTGAATAACTAATAAGGTTTTTAAACCTTTGAATGGCTTTAGAAATTAGCTAGGCTAGTGTACCGGTCAACCAGGCTCGAGAGGGTGGCCAAAATAGGCATATGGCTTTGTTGTGTCATGTGTTGAGGCACATGGCTTGTTTTTAAAATAAATAAAACACAAGCTACATTTGATTTTAGAAGGGGAAAAGAAGAGAAATGAGAGAAAGGAAATGAAAGGAGAGCTTGTGGGTGCTATGGCTTCATCTTAAGAGTACTTTAGAGGCATTTTGAGTTGGGAATCTTCATTGGTAAGCTTCCTCTCCTTCTTCCTTCTCTATTATGTGGAAATCTCTATGTTTTAGGTAATATGGGGCTTGATTTCATTTTTCTTGGGTTGTAACCGAATCCATTAGCTTACTTAAAGTCTTAGGAAGTTAAATTAAGTTTCTAAACCTTGATTTATAGATTTTATAATGATTTGAAACTTTTGTTTAGGGTTTGGATGAACCCAAAAGAGAATTTATGTTATCAGGAGCAATATAGGTAAAGGATTAGTGTTATTAGTGTGTTTGAGTATTAAATAGAATTAATGAAATGTATTAGAAAGAGTTGATGGTTTTAAAAGGGATTTTTGGATATAGTAGATACCCAAAATTAGACTAAAAAGGAATTAATTAGAGTGAGAATTGATGATTAAGTATTCAATCTTGTATATTAATATTGATCAGGCATTGATACGCTAATGGATACTTGTGGAGTTATTAATTGACCACAATAATCCTTTTTGTGACGAAAGGATTAAAGTAATCAAATTTTCTATACTTATTATTTGCATATTTGGATGGTTGTATAGAATTTCAAAATATTACTTTATTATTAATTTGAACTAGCATAATAATAGTAGAAAATGATTTGGAATTTAGAAACCCTATGTGAAGTGAAATGAGCTTATATGTTTGCAAATATGAAGTTTTAAAAGATTTTTATGTTAAATTCTATGTATATGTGTATATATGCTTGTGAATGTATAAAGTTATCATGGATATGATTATTGTAAATAAATTACATGTTTATGGATGGTTGTGTAGAATTTCAAAATATTAATTTATTATTAATTTGAACTAGCATACTATTAATAAAAAATAATTAGGGATTTAGAAACCCTATGTGAAATGGAATGAGCTTATATGTTTGCAAATATAAAGCTTTGAAAGATTTTTATATTAAATTCTATGTATATGTATATATGCTTGCGAACATATACAAGTTATTAAGGAGATGATCATTGTAAATAAATTACATGTTTATGGCTATGTGTGGAATTGTTGAACATAATGTTTAGGCATGATCATTGTGAGAGTTCACCCTAGTATTGTCAAGGAACATTATTTGAAAATCTATATGGTACACTAACATAGTGGAATCCTTGGTGCACAATTCTATTATTGTTTGAAAGTTTTAGTACTATTTAAGATAAATTAGACATATAGTACCCTGAGTATTCGTAGAGGGGGAATTTGTGGTCCATGGTGGGTGAAAACGCCTTTGATCGAGGCTGCCTCCCATGATTAGTGAGCTTAAGCTAATCCAATCACATAGATTTGATTTTATCGAATTGTCAGCTTACAAATTTAGTCAGAGGAAATAAGAAGGATAAAAGGTGGTATGTTGATTATGCATATTATTATTATATAGCCATGTGTGTGTAGGTAAACTTAACATATACAGTATATGTTTAAATGCCACTTCATATACTCACTAACTGTTCTCACACACAAGTAGTTTATTTAGATTATTTGGTTATTGAATTTTCAACTCACCCTGTTGTTATAATTTATAAGAAAAGGCTCTGATGGGGGCACAGGGAAGGAAGGGGCTATTGAGTCTAGAGGAACTTAAGTTTGTATAGCTCTTCCCTTTTTTAGTAATATAACAAATTTGTATTGAATATGCTAACTTAAGATCATTTATTGTTTTGAGGTCACTTGCATGAGAATTGTTGTGTAAACATGGGGTATCTCAGCCTGAAATGTTGTAACTATGATAAAATTATTGTAAGGGCCTGAGATACTAATACAAGTGATATTATTGTGTTGATTATATATTGGAATGGCCATGAAAATATTTAAATGTAATTTATTGATACCCCTTGAATTCATTATGAATTTAGAGTTTTGATGGTCAATTTGTGTATAGATTGTTCTGGTTGTGGTATGATTAGTCTTTCAGGTTGTGTGTGGTTCATTTGTGTTTGTTCAAGTAGTTCCAAGGTTATTACCACTAGATTAAGGGTTTTTGACACCCTCGTGTGTATTTTGAAAGATAAATGACCTAATTTGTGTTCGGTGTCTAAATTTTAAATGGTAAAGTGTTTAGGTGTGAAATCAGTGCTAATAAGTAAAAGGCTTAATGAGTTATGTGTGGACACTTGAATCGCTCAATTTTGATGTTGGATAGCAAAACGGTGCCTTCTAAAAGTTGGTCTTGAAGTGCGGGGTGCGCTAGAGTGCATTATACAGCAAGAGACCTTATCACTTTATGCCATCCATCGCGGTAAATGACACGTGTGCCACAGTGGATGGAGCATTTTGAGAGTGGTCTAAAAGGCCTTTTAGTTCTTATATGCAATGATATTTGGCTTTTATACTTTCGTTACCTCATTTAATTGATTTTAAATTATGATTTGAACTCAAACACCTTTTAAGAAGGTTTCTTAGGATTCCAATCTTTTAAACTACTTTTAAACCCTTATGTTATGATAATATTATATGAGGAATTTAATTCTTCTTCTTTCTTTCTTCTTCTTTTCTAAATAATATTACACAGTAACACATTCAATAAACCATTTCCCATCCCCTTCTTATTTTTTTATATTCATTTTCTTTTGTTTAATAATAATAATAATTCTATTTTCTAAAAAAATCACAACTTAGGATTTTATCTATATTAGATCTATATAATAATCCCCTAACTAAATTATTTATATCTAAATATTTCTTCAAAATTACACACTTTCCTTTAATTAGCTTAATTAATTTTGGGTTAAAGTTTGGAATATTACAAACATTATATATGTCACATGGCTCAATGGATTTAGAATTGGTTGTTTAAGTTTGACTTATTGATAATGATGTGCCTAGATGTAAGTTATTGTATATGGTTATATGATCTAATAAGTATAAGAAAGATTAATAGATGAGTTGAGTATATTTATAGTTATGATAATGGCATATAAAATGATAAACATTAATGTGATAATGTAACATCCCAGTTTTTACTTCCTTAATTTACTAATATTAATGAGGATAATTAAGTAAGTTGATATGTTGTATGGCCAGAGGAGACTAATAAGTATTTTTAGTTAGAATTTTAGGCATAATTTTGGTCCAAAGTGAACTTGGGTCACTTGGGGACTAAAAAGTGAAGAAAAACAAGCCGAAAAGCTTCTATGCCATATTCTATGGCGCACAAGGCCATCAAGCAAGAGCTACCTTCTCTATACCACAT